TGTGCAGTTGTTACTGATAGAGTTTTTTAAATGTAGAAAAATGCATACCTGAATCTTAGCAGTATGTTTGAATAAATGTAGGCTTCTCATTAATTTTGATTTTGGTAAGTTATATCTAGCTTGAAATTCTTCTTTGATATGTGTATTCATGCAGAGTGCTGGAGAGAGCATGACGTTTCTTGCCATAATTTCTGACTTTGATGGGAGATGCAGAAGAAACCTTTTAACGATGAGAAATATGGGTCAGGGAAGTAGGAGGCGTAGATTTTAGGTGCTTCTTACAGCGAGAGAATTGAATTTGTGTGTCTGTATTCCAAGAGGGTTATTCTTGGAGGCAATCTAGAGAAAGGGATATCTCCATTCCTCCCTTTGAATGAAGACCATTCTGCAAAGCTGAAATTTCCACAGTTAGTGTGCAAAAGGGAGCTTGACTGAAGCAAACTTTGCGGAGGTGGGCTGTGTTGGATGCATCCTGCATTTTGCCTTGGGCTGGACAAAGTGTGAAGTGGGTACTGGATGCCAGTAGGAACTCCTCCTCACTCTACTGGTTTCATATGGAGGAGGAGAAGAGACATTGGTTCTTGATGGAGCTGATTTTGGCCCCAGTAACCTTTAATATGTTTTTGTGTGTGTGCGCAGTGGTAGAGCTTCGGGGTAGTGGGCCAAGTATAAACTGTTCCTTGCTTTTCTTTGGACTTGTAACTGGTTAATTCTGCTGTCAGTGAGGGGCTCCATAATTTGGCTCTTCCCCAAGGCGAGTATTTTGATAACTGAGAAACTGCAAGAAGAGGATGCAGCAGTACAGTCAATTTTTGTTGATACCACCAGTTTCGGTGTCTAAAATTTCTTTTAAGTCATTTTTTTTTGTACTCAAGTAATTTGGAGCATAAATTCAAGGATTAGTTTTGGCACCTGAAATCTGATGTGATGTGTCTAGTTTGAGGCTGTTGGTAAAAACCTTTTTCCAGAAGAGAGGCAGATTTTAATTTTGTCAGTGTTAGCTCAATAGTCATAGAATAGCTTGTGTGTAATGGAGCCTTGTTATTTCAGTCTACAAACTAGTCGTTCAGCATCAGACAGTCTAAGGTACTTTGTGGTCAAGTATTACCTTTACTTAGTTTCCCCCATTTTAAAATTAAATAATGGAGTATTTTGTG